TGAACCCTAATTTGCTATGGTGGTTGAAGGTTGAGAAAGTCTAAAAAACCTTGAGAAAGCTTTGTGATACAAACCCTAGTCTTCGGGTCCCACTGGACGTGCCACTTGACGAAGCCTGGAATTATGACTCCAGTTGGTTAGTGGCACTCCGTTTAGGGTTTCCTACAAAAGAGGGTCTCGAGAGTCTCCCCAGGGTAGAAACTCCGATTCTTAAGTCAGAAATAGGGTTATAGAGAAGTGTGTATATGATTATTGGTGCTAGAGATAGCGTACCTCAATTATGGAGCAATCATCCCTATTTATAGACCTAGAAGATGTCCGAATCTCACTATATTTAGCACTCTTGCACCTCCTCCATAGAGTTGGTTGGACTCTAGACTCAGTAAATAGGCCGGTCCAATGTAGGTGGTGAATACGGACTCGTCAAATTAACAACTGCTCTGTGCTCAATGGTTGCATACTCCCCATTGTTCATTATCTGCAATATAAGATATAGCTTTAAGCATATGAAAAAACTGAATGGCAGGAAAAGATATGTAATAAAGAAAGGGAGTTGGAGATGGCTGATCAGAAAAAATTTGATAACCTCCATGGCATCTCCAGTATTGACAATAATGGCTCCAGGAAGAGGTTTAACTGGCACCCATTTACCATTCTTGTTGATTTGTAGACCTTCCACTTCATTGACTTGAACCAGTAAGGATAGAAGATCTCCATCTATGTGTGGAGAGAAACCGATAACCTTGTCTGACTAGGAGCAAGGCGGATAATAATTCATTCGAATCGTTTGATTGCATTCCTTATACTCCCTCCGTCCCATAATTATTGTCCACTTTAACAAAAAAAATTTGTCCCAAAATTATTGTCCGATTTGACTTTTTATGGAATGAGTTACACATTTGCCCTTTAATCTAGTGATTGGAAACCTTTTTATCCACACACAACAACACACATCAGAAGTGAACACAATTCAATAGCAGCAAAATTAGCCTTTACTCCGACTGTGAACACAATTCAATAGCTTCAAAACTAGCCCAACGGCTCAAAACGACGGTGAGGATGAGGTAGACTGTGCTAGAACATTAAAGAATGTCTGAGCTATACATGAATTCTTCAAACCAAAATTTTCTCTAGCTGTCGGATATTAGAGATTAATTATGCTACCTTGTAATCAGTCTATGTACTCTAGTCTCGGTTATGGGGCTTTGATGTTCTAGCCCTTTAATCTAGTGATGGACTGTTCTAATTCGCAGTAGTGAATTATTCTTTACTGTATAAGCTTTGGTGAGGAACCCACAGTTTCTATCGATAATGGACTTATGGGGGAGTTTGGAGATAATTGGAATTGGAGAAGGCATCATTCATTGGGAAATTGAAACTGTGGGGAGGAGAATTTCACTGGTTTTGCGTTGCCTGGTGAGGAGTATGTGGCCTTCTTGATCAATAAGGAACGGCAGCATTTGACTACTGAAGAGGATGAAAAAATGGAGACTTGGCTTTGGGTATTATTCGGCAGGGGTATATCCGAAAGTTTCAGACAAAATATAATTAAATTTAACCAAAAATAAATTCTTTCATCTTGATTAAAGTGGACAATAATTATGGGACGGAGGGAGTACATGTTTTTTAATTCCCTGAATTCCACCACGAGATTTATGGCCATCGATTCGAAAAGACTGATGCAGATTCTGTGCAACTAGCGCGAGTAGTCCTCTAAGGTTGATCTGAAATGTCAAGGCATAAATCATAAGCAATATTTTGGATACAAAATTTAAAATTGTTTTGCTTTCTCAGAAACAAAAACCAAGTTGGTATAAATTTACCTAAAGGAAGTGTGATTGTTAGGCCAGAATCTCAGGTTCTTCGCGGCGATTGGAAGGGCATAAAGTAAGAGCATGTCATTCCAATCGAGCTTTCGATCATCAGAGACAACAAATGCTTGACCGTATCCTTCAAGACCACCTGGAAGTTGTGCATAGGTCATCTTCTCTTCTAATGGTAGTTTAAAGAATTCCTAAATAGCCACCTTCATGTTTTCGATTTTTGTTGTTGCTCCGTGATTAATCAGCTGTTAATCAAGATATCAATCAAGAATTATTGGGTTCAAACACTGAATGATGTTGGGGATTTATCTAGAGGAGAAAACCCGACATGGAGTCCAATAAGTAAGATAAAACCCATCTGAACTCAAAAGTTCAAGCTAATGGGTTCTGAGACCACCTTACTTATTAACTGATTCACATGTCCTCATGCCTCCGATGTGGGATTCATAATCCTTGCCACATGACCCTCAACATTCTCCTCCGTCATGGGCAATCTCCACATCGGGCTTCCAAATTATCTTGACAAGCCCAAATCTATACTCCACCTGAGTAACTGGGATGCCCATCCCTACGCTCTGATACCACTGTTGTGGCGGAAAGGGTATAAATACAACACACCATGGAAGCGAATTCCAAGAAAATCTTCTTTCCTACTACCAATAAAATAGGACAACCATCCAAACAAGCAACTGATTCAAGAACTGATAAAATAAAGGAGGCACGCGAATTTACGTGGAAACCCAAATCGGGAAAAACCACGAGACTGTAACAACAGTCAAATCTCCACTATCACAATAATGGAAAAACAGTCTTCACCGACTGGTGCATACACAGGACTTCACCCAAAGGTAGATTACAACAATACTCTTCCACACACACCTATCACAAAGTAGGATTGGAAGGATCTAACCAAAAAAGAGCTAAACCGAAAACTAAACCCTAGCTTTCTTTCTTTTTCTCTCGTACAAAAATAATGCACGGCTGCCCAAACTTTTCTTCTCTCTTGGCTGAAAATACACACCTAAACATTATGCCAAAGCCTTGCTTTTATAGAACAAAAAAACCTAAAAAATAAAAACCCAATTGGAGTGGGTTTTGTTTCCTAAAACCAAATTGATTTGGTTTCAATCACTCCTGGACCCAATTGAGGTGAAGGGGTTTTGTTTCCTAAAACCAAATTGATTTGGTTTCAATCACTGCTGGGCCCAATTTGAGGGGAACTCGGGCCCAACAAATGATAAGATACAGATTGCGAATAACATCGTGTGTTGTATTTACCTGGAAGAATCCCCAATCCTTGCAAGCCTTGTGAGGTCTTGACATTTCGGTTTGATATTCTTTGTTGCCAGCAACAAGCTTGCTCATATCAACGACTGGTATTTGTGATGACTCATCATAAACTGAAACTTCATCAATCAAATCTTCAGGTCTGCGGTTCTTTTGAAGAAAACCGACCCGAAACGAACCGATCCGAACCAAACCATTATTTTGATTCGGTTCAGAAACGGGTCAATTTTTTTTGGATCACAAATGATTTCGGTTCGGTTCGGTTCAGATTAAGTTTCGCGTCTAAACCGAATTAACCTAAAATGAATCATTTTGCTAGTGATGATGTCACCAAAAATGACGATGACATCATCATGTCGGAGACGGTCACCAGCCGCCGGAAAAAAATAAATTTTCCGGTAAAGTTGCCGAAATTTTGGCCGGAAGTTATCGTCGACGACGACCGGCAGCGGTGGTCAAAGGTGGTAATGGCGGTCAACGACGATATTATTAAAATGTAATTATTTACTTTTTGGTTTTGGATTTTTTCGGTTCAATATGGATATTCTTTTGACTCGAACTGATCCGAAACGTTCCAACTTTTAAAATCTTCGACCCGAACCAATTTGAACCGAAATTAGAATTTGAGTTCGATTTCGGTCGATTCGGTTCGGATCGTCGGGTCGACCCAAACCGCGATTCAAAATGACGAGCCCTAGATGTATCGATTCGGGATGTCTTTCAAGCTCTTGGAAGCGAGGTCTGCACGTTTAAAGTCCAATATGGCTTATACCGCTGCTTACATTCGTCTCCATTGATGTACAAAATGTAGACCAAACTATTAACCTATATCACATGCAGAGGAATTCCCCTGTTTTACTTTTTTATATATGCAGAGCAATTCCCCTGTTTTACTTTTTTTTTTTTTTTTCTATCTCCTGTACAAGAGGTTTTGGACTCCTGTTCTCCTCAGTTCTCAGACTCACCAAGGCACATAGCTGAAGTGAGATGACATTTCAGAAGCAAAAAATTGTTACTCTTTTTGTCTCAAAATGATTTTTTCTGCCAAGATGCTAAAGTTTTCGTCACCAGTTATCACCCACTTGCTGAAATTTTTCGATTACTTGTTTGATTGTAAATTGTCCACCTTTTAATTATAAAAGCACCTATCACTAAACTGGCATGTGTTTGGAGCGAACACTGCTAGTCAAGGGTTGATTTAGTCAAATTTTGAATGCTAATTAGAATTGGTCTAGTCAATTAATTAATTGCTTGTGGTTGTTGCTTTCATGGCCACATCCTACAACGTTACTACAGTACAACCCAAAAAATGAGATTAGTTAATGAGTATGTGCAATCCATTGAAAATGATTTGTCAATATAGACTCTTTGCCAATTCAAAGAAAGATGCTGTGTTTACCAAGCAAGAATAACTTAGATCGATATCTTATTCCCATGATATTGGTATACAATATATATATATATATGTGTGTGTGTGTGTGTATACATGTGTGTGTGTGTGTGTGTATACATATATATATATATATATATATATATATATATATATAGAACCTGCAAGAACAATGTTATTGAATTTCTATGTAATTTATACTCCTCCAAAAAGAAGCCCTGTTTGTTAAGTATATTCTGCTGTGATGGATTTAAATGTTCTAAGCCACTGGGATGAGCTTACTATTCTAGCTTCTTTCTCAGCATTTTGGTTCAAGAGAGACTGGTAGTGATAGTTGTGTGCTAATATGACCAAAAAAATCACTGCCATTTTCTCTTATTGATTGGCTTGCAGGAAATTTTGTATACAGGACAAAGAAACAGTTGTCCACATAATTGGAAAATAAATAAAGATAGTTCCACAATTAAAGTGGAAACTTTGCACAATGCTACTGATTTCTCTCAGTTACATATTTTCACAGCATCCAGCGTGCTTTTACCGTTTAGTCTGCTGTTGAGAAACATTTTCGCGTAGTCCTCGAATTTCACTGCCTTGTACTTGGCTGCAGTCTCTTTCACAAGACCCGGTAGGGGACTGATTGTCGCGGTTCTACTTGGATTGTGAAAACCAGCAATGGATATCCTTTCCTTCTCCGAATTCACCACAGCTCTATGCTCAATGCTCTTGTACTCCCCATTGCTCATGATCTACATTGAGGAAACATTAACCTAACTCTGAAACCTAGGACTATGAGAAATGTGCGATAAAGGCGGATTTAGTCACTGATCAGAATCTATAATTACCTCCATGCAATCAGCAATGTTGACAATGATGGCTCCTGGAAGAGGTTTGATTGGGATCCATTTACCACTGTTGCGGATTTGGAGGCCTTCAACCTCACCGACTTGAACCAGTAAGGTTAGCATAGATCCATCAGAGTGTGGAGTGAAACCCATAACCTGGTCAGCTAGGGAGCAAGGTGGATAATAATTCATTGTTATTCCTTGTGCGCATTCCAGATACATATTGACAAATTCCCTGAACTCCACCCCGAGATTTGTCGCCATCGATTGAACGAGACTAATGAAGATTTTGTGCAACTGGCGCGAGTATTCGTCTAAACTTGGTCTGATAAAAGATTCCAGAAACTGTAAGTAAACAACTATACATTCTAACTTTACAGCAAAATGAGTGAAAAGCTTACTCTGCCACTCTTGACTAATCAATCTTTAGGTATGCAATTTTTATTTTTATTTTTTTGTATTGCGCTTACCATATTGCTTAATAAAAACACAACCAAAATGGTTTCTTTGTAAGAATCCCATGGTCCATCAGATGAACAAATTCTGTATATTGATTACTAACCTGAAAGATGTAGGATTATTAGGCCAAAATTTCATATTCCTTCCAGATTCTGGAGCAGAACAAATGAAGATCATATCATTCCAGTCAAGCTTTTGATCTTCCGACATAACAAAAGCATGACCGTATCCTTCAAGACCATCCTGTTGTGCATAGACCATCTTCTCTTCTAATGGCAGTTTAAAGAAGCCATCTGCAGCCACCTTCATGTTTTCGATTTCCGTTATTGCTCCGTGATTTATCAGCTGCCGATCAAAGATGTATCAATCATGAATCATTAGATCCAATTGTCAGTTTTACAACAAAATACTATTTAACAGGTACATATATAGATTGCGAAATCGGATTGGTTTATTACCTGAAAGAATCCCCAATCCTTGCAAGCCTGATGAAGGTTTGACATTTCAGTTTCATATTCAGTGTTACCAGCTACAAGCTTGCTCATATCAATGACGGGAATTTGTGATGACCCATTGACTAAAACTTCATCTGCCCTGATTTCAGGTCGGATGTATCGATGTGGGATTTCTTTCAAGTTCTTGGAGGCTAGTTCTTGCACGTTTGCAACCGGAAGTGAAGATCCAACGTCTCTAATGTCGATGATTACTTTAGTTTCCATTGATGAAACAATTATTGCAGAGCTAAGCTAACTAGTAAAAGAACTGTCCAGTTTGACTTTTTGTTGTCTTTGAGTAAAACAAGATGTGGAGATATTCGTTTTGGGAGTATTTATCAATAGTCTAAAACTAGATGTTATCCCCGCATGATGTGCAGGATAGAAAAATTCGTGTTTATTCTCTCATGAGAATAGAATATATATGATTAAAATTCAATCAATTATATATGATAAATTAATTCTCTATAAACACAATAAAACTCGAGCAGATGTTAACGATCTTTCTTAAATTCACACAACAAATTAATAAATGGCATAATAGAAACACAAACCTGTATTCATCTTCGTAATGATGACCTCCTACTTACTTGTTTTATTGTTTTTTCCTCACCTCTCCACAGTTGCATTAAATTAAAAAAAATTGATCTAAACATGTTAAGATTCAAATAAAGATGAAAGAAAAAAAAAAGGCACTGTGGTATAGTCGCAATTTTGAGTGAGATTCAATAAATGGAGTGAGCCTTATATAGGTAGTTTGGAGGAAGGGCAAACGTGTTTTGATATAGATAAGATTTTATTTTGAAAATTAAGTGTGATAATTAATCATTATTTAAAATTCAAATTTAGTAAAATTTATTTAACCGGATAGGAATACTTATGTTATCCTTTTATTTGGCCATAACTTTTTTGTAATTTGAATATAATTGATTGATTCTGTATTTAATGTTGATTGATTTGTTTTAATTTGTGAGTAGATGTGATAAGATATCAAAACTTACATAAATGGAAATTAATTTACCTTATCATAAATGGTAATTAATTTGATTGATATTTTAATGATAAGGTAATAAAGCACACTTTATTAAATGCTACCTAAGAAGGAGTGCAAGTTTGTTTCATTTAAGTTAGAATACCTTTTCCTAATTACACTAAGATATTTTTGGGAGAATAATTTAGAAAATACACGTAGGATTTTATTCTATGTGACACCTTTAGGAATTCATTTAGTTTTCTCTCTTCGATTTCTCTCTTATAATAATAACTAGATGCCTGGGCGACTTCACATATTTTCTTTTGACATTATATGACACTATTTGATCAATTATTATTATTTTTGTATAATGTAGATGAAAAAATAATTAAAAAATAACTAATTTACACATAAGGGAAAAAGGCTACTATCCCTCATATTCCTCACTACATAAATGAAACCATGTCATTAACATTGCTATCAAGAATCCGAAACGACTTCAAAACATAAATACTGAGGTCTTATAATATTATCAAATTTCCCGTTACAACTCATTACTCAATTTTTAACAACAAATATAGAAAAAGTTATACATCTTCCATTTTTATATAGCTATAACAATCATCTTGATCTATTTCTTCGACTTCTTTGCAATGAAAGATACTCAGCTTGCAAAACCTGAAAATCATGCTAGTGTCAGATCAATTCATTATATATATATATGTCAATTGAAAGATTTCATTTAACTTGACCAAATTCACTCACTAGCACTATTTGAGAGTAGTAAGTTATTACAACGAACCCAAATTTGCATAACCATTCTTCCCAAGACTATTCCAAAGTTTCCAGAACAATATAGAAATTTTATGATCTTTTTTCTATTTTATAACTCAAACAATAGTCGGAGAGTTCTAAGAATAACAACACTGAAGATCATAGAAAACTATCTTGGATATATACTGTATAGAACAAACCAAATTCCGATATATATATTTTTTTTACCCTGAAACAATCAAGTCAATTTTTTTCCTTAAAAAAGAATTTATCTAACATAAAAGGAATGGTAATGGGAAAAAATGGATCTTTATCCATGAGTACGCTGATGAATGGCTTCCTTAATTAATTGTTTTTTCCTTTATAAGATTTTTTTTTTCCATGAGATGTAACATGAATTCGAACAATTATCAATAAAAAAAGAATAGAAAAACTAAAAACTATATGGACATGATTTAAAGTAGTTATAACAAAACCCATTTAAAAGCATATTTAGAATTTATATTGTCAGAATAATCTTTAAACTCACTCTATTTATATTCATGCTTCATTTTGCAAACCTGCAATCCAACTTAGTCATCACCCGTAGACTCATGTTTCCAAATTTATGTCCTGTATCAAAAACTAACAATTTATTTTCATCATGAGGCTGCTTATTAAGATTGATTTTAACAAAGAAAAAACACCTGCAGTTGTCGGTTAATAAGCAGATCCACAGACACCAAATTGGCCAACGCTGCTATTCCTGATATTCATGATTATGCCGTTGCCGTGGTTGACCTGTTGGACGATATCATTGATGATGAGCTGACCATCCTACACAAAATCAAAAAGATTTTCAATGATGAAGTGGCGGAGGAGAAAAAAAAAAGAAGCGATGGATTCATAATTGATTTCAGACTGTGTGTTCGAAATTAAAAGATGGGATTGTGATTGATTGCTTAAGATTAGCATGTACTTATTTTGAGAGTAGCAAGCAATTAGGGATTTTATTTAACAAACATTATCCTGATTCAGGGTGCATAAATAACACTGAAACACGTTTAACTCCTAAATTTTAGGGATGGATTATTATCCCTTTTAAAATTTTAACTGATTCTTTTATTTTTGGTTTAATAAGTGAGTTTTTTTAGAAGGCCATTTTTTCCCTGCCTATTGAGTGTGCCACGTGTCAGAAATCATTTTGTACTGAAAATGCTGTTTGGCGGGGAAATTTTTGACATGGAGCTGGCACCTGTTCTTTTTGTTTGCTGCTTTAATTAAGTACTAGATGCTTGTCCTGGGCAAATGCCCGGGGCGTCCTCCTACCTAATAAATTAATATGTAAATAATCAAAACTGATTAGGAATGAATTTAGTTTTTGATGAAGATAATTGATTGATCGAAAATTAATTTTTTAGAAAGTTCTAAATAAGTGGAGAAGGAAAGTTCCATTCACTGTCAAATTCAAAAGGCCATCAGATCTCTTCGTTAATATTATAAATATATTTTTTGTTTTTAAAAGGAGGTGACACGTGGCAGCATGGTTTATGTAATATGGTGCATTTGGAGCTAAAACCTTTTAATAAGAAATTGCCACATCATCATCTTGTTTTCTGCTTTAATAGGGTAATAAAAGGAATTATAGATAATATTATTATTATTATTATAGATAGATGGTTGGGAACAAACCTCAACCACGGACAGGATAAGCGCATTCAATTTCGACACCTCAATAATGTAAGATTACGACTTTTGATTACCACTTGTAAACCGGCTACAGTGTTTTGGGAGAGTTTATGAGAAAATACACTGAAAAAGGTTAAATTTTCATCTCCTTTATCGAAAGACTTTTGTTAATAATTTCTGTATATGACGAAACTTCATAAATTATAGCCAACTTCTTCCTGTAATTGCAAGTTAGTCGTTGATAAGGCCCAAGTGGTCCTACAGAGGTTGAAAACTTTTTTTTTCCCACCAAATAAAACGGAATTAAGGAAAGTATATTTTAAACCATATAAAATTTGTCTGAACATATTGTGCATTTACATCTGGACTGAGAATGTATTTGATTTATTTGAAATACCGTTGATTTGATCTTTACCCCCTCCGCCACAAAATGATTATTTGGTTCGTTGTATTTACATTTCATTACGATAATGTTTTTTTCTTTTCTGTTTGTTGACAAAGGGGCAGTTTGTTTTACAAAGAAATACTCATACATTATATGATGTTATTGATGGGGGAAAAAGAATTATTTTATAGAGCTAATTGATCTTCAAAGCCAAAGGCCCAAAGCTTGAGCATATATGTTTCATTAATTTAACCTTGTCAATTCTGACTTCTGAAGTTTCTTTCCTTGGTCTAAACAAGGATCATAATGATCATTGCATTTGTGAAGAATTCTTGTTCTAGAAGCTCGAAAATGAATACATGACTTTCTCTTACTTCCCACTCTATCATCACCATAGAGTCACTTGATTTTTTCAGTTGGATATTCTCACATTATCTAGCATGCTCTTGCCATTCAATCTGCTGCCAAGGAACATTTTCAGATAGTCTTCATACTTCATTGTCTTGTATTTGGCTGCATTTTCTTTCACAAGATCTGGTAGGGGTCCGATTTTCGCCTCTGTGCTTGGCAGGTGAAATGCAGCAATTGATAGTCTTTCCTTCAGGGAATTCACAACAGCTCTGTGCTCAATGCTTCTATACTTCCCATTAGTCATCATCTACATTATTGAAAAGACATATGGAGCCAGTGTTTGGAAGTGAGGGAAAATATGTAATTAATATGAAGGGGGGATGTTTAAGTTACCTCCATGATATCACCAATGTTTACAATGATGGCTCCAGGAAGAGGTTGAATGGGTATCCATTTATCATTTTTGCGGATTTGGAGACCTTGAACTTCATTAACTTGGACCAGTAAGGTTAAAAGAGTTCCATCTGAGTGTGGAGCGAAACCGATTACCTTGTCAGCTGAGGAGCAAGGTGGATAGTAATTCATCCTTATTGCTTGGACGCATTCTTGATACATGTTAGCAAATTTCGCAAATTCTACACCCAGATTCATGGCCATCATTGTATAAAGACTGATGCAGATTCTGTGCAACTCGCGCGAGTATTCCTCTAAGGTTGATCTGATATATCAGAGCAGAAGCTTTTCCAGTTAACATTGGTTTTTAGTTGAACTATCATATAGTTTGCTTTACAAAAAGCCAAAGGGTTTACTTATTCGAATTCATTAATCGTTATGTTATTTATGAATTGCATGCAGTTTTTACAAAAAAAATTTTGTTCGCAAACCTGAAGGATGTGGGATTGTTAGGCCAGAATCTCATATTCCTTGCAGAGATTGGCTGAGCATAAATGAAGAGCATGTCGTTCCAGTCTAGTGTTTGATCATCCGAGAAAACAAATGACTGGCCATATCCTTCAAGACCCCCTGGAAGCTGTGCATAGACCATCTTCTCTTCTAATGGCAGTTTAAAGAACTCCTGAACAGCCACCTTCATATTTTCGATTCCTGTTCTTGCTCCATGATTAATCAACTGTCGATCGAGATATATCAATCACGAATGTTGATTGGGTTCACATGTTTCCTGACAAAACTGAATGTTAACAGATACAGATTGCGAAAAATTGCTTGCTGGTTACCTGAAAGAATCCCCAATCCTTGCCAGCTTGGTGAAGTTTTGACATTTCAGTTTGATGTTCGCTACTGCCAGTTGCAAGCTTGCTCATATCAATTACTGGAACTTGCGATGACTCTTGGACTGAAACTTTATCAGTCCTAATCTCAGATTGAATGTATCGATGTGGAACGGCTTCTAATTTTTTGGAAGCTAGGTGTTGCACGTTTTCAACAGGAAGTAAAACGTCAACATGATTTATAGTGTAGGTAACATTAGTATCCATAGATAAATATTGCTCTAGACCTAACTATTAAGCATTAACTTCTCTTACTTATGCAGAGAATGCCCGTATCCAATTCTTCTCTTTCAGTTAGGAGATCAGGTGCTACTTAATACTTATATAGTCTTCTTGGGTACCTTTATCCTTGGTAGGTAAGGTGACATTGATGAAGCAATATGAAAATTTCAAATAGCAAAAAGTTCCACAATTGACATTTTGTTATGATCATTGGAGTACTTAGGATCTAGACAACAATTGATAAAGTTGAGGATGTTGGTTTTTAGTTGCAAATTCTTAATGTTAAGAACACAACACAAGTGGACATAAAGATGAACTTCTCCCATTGGAGCGTTTATGATAACTCAATAATAATGTGTATCGACATCATTCATCTTTCTTTGCGCGTTTTCATTGAGCGGATCTATGAAGTAGCTTATAGGAGCTGATGCTCCTTTTGTAGTTGCTCACAAACAAACAAACAAAAGCAGGCGCTATGAACCAGATTCAGAGCTCCAAATGTCGTCCTGTCTTACGAAACTTTTGACACCCATCCATTAGTTAAAGATAGAATTGCCGTCCAATCTGTTTAGTGGATACAGAAATGTTAGTTTTCAACTGTAAAACTGATAAGGTCAGTGTACGGGAGATTCTCAAGTTTTCTCAAATACTTTGGTAAAACAATCTTCGTTGTTTAGTTTACACTGTGGGGTAGCGTATATGAGCCTTCGTAGCAAGAAATGAGTAACTATGACGACAGAGATTGAATTGAGCAACAAAAACTAGATATTTCAACAGTTGAGTTAATGATGCTTTTTTTTAGAACATTTACAGTAAAACAAATGTTGCAAGAAGTGAAGGTTACTGATATTGCTGTTACTGGGTAGCTTACAGTGGTGATGTATTGCATTTCTAACATTTTGGCCCATGTCTGGCTCTCTTGATCATTAATGACTGGCTGAATGATCAAAACTAATCAGCTAATATATCTCGAAAAGATTGATGGACTAGCAAAGCAAGATGAGGAAGTGATCAAAAGGTCGTTTGATTTTTTTGCGGAGTCAACATCTCTGAAACTAGATCCCCTGAAATGGTACTGGTTTTTCTGTCGGATATTTTCGCGTTATCGATCATGCTTTTGCCATTCAGTCTGCTGCTAAGTAACAGTTTCAGATAGTATGCATACTTCACAGTCTTGTGTCTGGCGCCATTTTCTTTCACAAGATCAGACAGCGGACCGATATTTGCTTCTGCACTTGGATTGTGAAAACCAGCAATGGATATCCTTTCCTTTAGGGTATTTACCATAGCTCTATGCTCAATGCTTTTATATTCACCATTGCTCATTATCTACAATGCAAAAACAAATTATATTAATTTTAATTTGGAGGAAAATATGCCATGAAGGAGGATCTTTTGAAAATCAAAATTAAGTTACCTCCATCATATCGCCAATGTTTACAATGATGGCTCCGGGAAGAGGTTTAACAGGTATCCATTTACCATTATTGCGGATTTGGAGACCTTCCACTTCATTGGCTTGAATCAATAAGCTCAGTTGAGATCCATCTGAGTGTGGAGGGATACCGACAACTTTGTCAGGTTTGCAGCATGGTGGATAGTAGTTAATTTTTATTGCTTGAGTGCATTACTGATACATGTCAGCCAACTCTCTAAAATCCACCCCGGGATTCATTGCCATCAATTCATAAAGACTAATGCAGATCCTATGTAACTCGCGCCAGTAGTCCTCTAAGGCCGATCTGATATGTCATAACAGAAACTATAAGTTTATTTTCAACCTTCTGATACGATTGTTTTGATAGTTCTTGGTAAAAAAAAAAGCCAAAATGGTTTCTTTACTCGAAATGATCATGTATGACATTGCAGAACAAGGAATGAGTCCTTTTCATACGAACCTGAAATATTGGGATTGTTAGGCCAGAAATTCATGTTCCTTGCATAGACTGGTAGAGTGAAAATTAGGAACAGGTCGCTCCAGTCGAGTTTTTGATCATCCGAGATAACATGTGCCTGACCATATCCTTCAATACTAGTATTTGGCAGTTGTGCATACAACATCTTCTCTTCCAATGGAAGGTTAAAGAAGTCCTGTGCAACTGTCTTCATATTTTCGATTTCCGTTGCTACTCCATGATTAATTAACTGCCTCAAAATACGAATTTCATGAGAAGAGTGGATTTAAGTTTAACCTTACAACAGAACATGAACAAACACAGGTTGCAGAAATTGAAAGCTTATTACCTGAAAGAATCCCCAATCCTTGCAAGCCTGGTGAAGTTTTGACATTTCACTTTGATATCCAATGTTTCCAGATGTAAGCTTGCTCATGTCAATCACTGGAATCTGTAATGACTCGTTGACTGAGACTTCATGTGTCTTGGATTCAGGTTGGATGTATCGATATGGGATGTCTTTCAAGCTTTTCGAAGCTAAGTTGTTGCACGTTTTCAACAGGAACCGAAACAACTATATGATTTACAGCATGGCTTACATTAGTCTCCATTGATGAAATAATGTTGTATTGCAGACCTAAGCCCTAAACTATGCTGAGCAAGTAATATCCAATTTCACTTTGTTTCTAGTAGAGTGAAATTAATACTCCCTCTTGTTTCAAAATAAGAATCATGCTTGTTGTACTAAAATGTCGAAAGGGTTACAAAAATTATACTGTCATTTTCAGGTGCCAATTTTTCTCGCTGGTTGACATTGTGAGCTGAAATGATAATTACAAAAAGCAAAAATCTACATTCATAATAAAGGTTTGTCGTTGTCACCAATTAGGTCATCACCTTGTTGGATTGTTAATTGTCACCATTACTCAAAACAATGTAATTGGACATAGATGCTGACCATTTCAGCTTTTCTCATTGGAACACATACCATAAGGATGTGTGTCTGCGTCATCCATCTTTGGAAGTTTTCGTGGGGAGTATTTATTAATTTAATCAAATTATGGATGATTTTTGCTGCAGTTAATATGAGATCATGATTCATACCAGTAGTTTTTCATTTTGAAAAGAGAAATCGGCATTAGTCAGTGTTCCCTCCACAATTTTCAGTTAGTCTAAGCTTAGAAAAGCTGATCCTTAATCCTGAAATTTGAAAAAAAATGACACATCCAAGTTTCTGTTCATATTTTTTCAGAATGAAGAAGGCATAACGAAATGAGATTGCCTGTAGAAAGTGATCAATAGTCATTTGAGTTGGCATTGCAGATTCACAGTTTTGAAATTGAAAGATACAAGTTGCAACTTCCTTCTAGATGCCCTGAAAGTTAAGAAGATACTGATTTTTCAGCTTTGCATCTTCACATTATCGAGTAAGCTTTTGCCATTCCGACTGCTGTTCAAATACATTTTCACATAGTCTGCATACTTCACAGTCTTGTACTTTGCTCCATTTTCTTTCACAAGATTCGATAAGGGACCGATTGTTGCTGCAAAATCTGGAGTGTGAAATGCAGCAATGGACATTCTTTCCTTTTCGGGATTCACCACAGCTCTATGCTCAATGCTTCTATACTCCCCATTGCTCATTATCTGCAAAGGAAACACATTAACACTGGGAAAAAGTTTGTTATGAAGGGGGGATTATGTGATCAGAATGAACTTACCTCCAAGGCATCACCAATGTTAACAATGATGGCTCCAGGGAGAGGTTTTACTGGTACCCATTTACCATTATGGCGAATCTGGAGACCTTCAACTTCATCGACTTGAACCAATAAGGTCAGTTGAGATCCATCAGAGTGTGGAGTGAAACCAACTACTTTGTCAGCTTGGGAGCAAGGTGGATAATAGTTCATCCTTATTGCCTGTACCATGTCCTGATGCATGTCCATGAATTCCTTAAAATCAGCTCTGAGATTTTTGGCCATCAATTCATAAAGACTTGCGCAAATTCTGTGCAACTTGCATGAATACTCCTCTAAGCTTGATCTGATGCATTGTGGCAGAAATCATAAGTTAACATGTTTTGTAGAAAAATGGCTTCTTAATTTAAGCCAAATGATCGGGCATGAAAGGGGGTGTAAGTGATGAATAAATTCTCTTGAAATGAACCTGAAAGATGTGGGATTATTAGGCCAGAAACTCAGATTCCTTGCTGTGATTGGTAGAGTGTAAAGTATGAACATGTCGCTCCAGTCGAGCTTTTGATCATCAGACACAACAAAAGCTTGGCCATAACCTTCGAGATTAGTATTTGGCAGCTGCGCATAGACCATCTTTTGTTCTAGTGGAAGTTTAAAAAACTCCTGAGCTGCAGCTTTCATAGTTTCGATTTCTACTGCTGCTCCATGATTAGTCAACTGGCACAAGAAGTTAATTATCAATGACTACAACGTATTTGTAAGCTGATATAAACTGCAAAAAAGGTTTGATCATTACCTGAAAGAATCCCCACTCCCTGCAAGCCTGGTGAAGTTTCGACATTTCAGTGTCATATCCAGGGTTGCCAGCAACAAGCTTGCTCATATCAATGACTGGAATTTGTGATGACTCATTGACAGAAACTTCATGTGTAATGAGTTCAGGTCGGATGTATCGATTTGGGATCTCTTGTAAGTTTCTGGAAGCAAGTTGTTGAACATTTTCAACAGGAAGTGAGAAGCCAGTAGGTTTGATAGCATTGCCAACTTCAGTTTCCATTGGTGAGTAAAATGTTGCAGACCTAACTCTTAACCTTTGGTCTCTCAACCAAATCAATTTATGTTGAGTTTCAGAAGACCAGAGGCTGTATACTTATTTATATAGTCATCAGCCGCTCTTTTAGTCATTTTGTTGATTGTTTATGGTCCACCATTATACATGAGACAAAGAAGAACAATTACTAATTTGCCAATTTTTGTCTCAAGAATCTTTTTAACCTCATTTTTAGGCCAGTTTAGTTCATAGAAAAGTAGCCATTTCATATATTGTTCCTCTCTCCAATTGCCGTCCTGTCTTAAATTTAACACAACTATCCTCCATTTACATGAACCATTCCGAAGTCAATTACACCGTTTAATGATATTAAAATGGGACGAATGGAATAACGCATATTGTTGCTTCTTTTTTTCTTTTCTTTTTTTCATGACAAACCACAGCTCGATCCAGCATGAGACTTTAATTAGGCAGCTAAAGTAAAAAAAATCATTAAAATAAAATAAAATAAAATTCTTGGTTGGGTTGGAGAAATGGGAAAAATTCACTTTTTACTTTTGGGAGGGCAAAGAATATTCTTTCCATTCCAAATGTAGTCTGTCTGTATAATCTCAATTGATTCGAGTTTGTATAATAAAAATAAAATTAAAAAAAAAACTGCTCCTTCTGTCCCAAAATTATTGTCCAGTTTGAGATTTCACTTTTAGTACAATTTGAACTAGAAATGAAAACTCAAACTGGACAATAATTATGAGATGGAGGGAGTATTACGTGGACACTTAATTAAGAAGCAAAAACTAGATATATCCACAGTTACATTATGGTGCCTTCTTTCGCAACAATTCGAACAAAAGTACTCCCTTTTCCTTGCACTGAAGATACTATTCAAGTAGAAATAGCACACAATGCTACTGATGATTTCTCAGTTGTATATTTTCACAGCATCGATCGTGCTTTTGCCGTTTAATCTATTGCTAAGATACATTGTCGCATAGTCCACGAATTTCACTGTCTTGTAATTGGCTCCATTTTCTTTCACCACATCTGGAAGCGGGCCGATTGTCGATGCTATACTTGGATTGTGAAATGTAGCAATGGATATCCTTTCCTTCTGAGAATTCACAACAGCTCTGTGCTCAATGCTTCTGTACTCCCCATTGCTCATTATCTGCATTCGAAGACACATCAAAAGGCTAACTCCAAAGGTTTGAAACTCGGTTTGATTCAATAAATGATCAGAACTGATAATTACCTCCATGGAATCGCCAACGTTGACAATGAAGGCTCCTGGAAGAGGTTTAACAGGTATCCATTTACCATTTATCCTGATTTGGAGACCTTCGACTTCATTGACTTGAACCAATAAGGTTAGAAGAGTTCCATCAGAGTGCGGAGTGAAGCCGACAACCTTGTCTGCCTGGGGGCAAGGTGGATAATAATTCAGTCTTATCATTTGTTCTACTTCCTTGTACATGCCGGAAAGTTCCTTGAATTCAACCCTGAGATTTGTGGCCATCAACTCACAAAGATCAATGCAGATTCTTTGCAACTCGCGCGAGTATTCCTCTACGGTTGACCTGATATATTTGAGGTTAGGAACTGTAAGTAATTAGTAAACAACTTAAAACATTCAGACTTCAGGCAGAATGTGGAAAAGTTTACTCCTAACAATGGGGCTCTCTTTCTACATTGATTGCTAAGAAACATAACCAGAGTGGTTTCTTTTCATTACTGAAATTGAACAATGAATGGAGGTAAACCTGAAAGATGTAGGATTGTTAGGCCAGAAATTCAAATTCCTTCTAGACTCGGGAACAGGACAGATGAAGAGCATGTCGCACCAATCGAGTTTTTGATCTTCCGACATAACGAATGCTTGTCCATATCCTTCAAGACCACCTGGCTGTTGTGCATAGAGCATCTTCTCTTCCAATGGCAGGTTAAAGAACTCCTGTGTAGCCACCTTCATATTTTCGATTTCAGTCGTTGCTCCATGATTACTCAGCTGTCTCAAGAAATCAATTTCAGCCTTCAGATGAGTAGATCCAGAATGTATGCTTACAAACAACAGTAAATCCACACACAAAGATCGCAAAAAAAAAAATGCTTTTGATTGTTAATTACCTGAAAGAATCCCCAATCCCTGCAAGCCTGATGAAGTTTTGACATTTCAGTTTCGTATCCGATGTTCCCAGTTGCCAGCTTGCTCATATCAATGACTGGAATTTGTAATGACTCATCAACTGAAACTTCATCTGCCCACATTTCAGGTCGAATGTAACGATTTGGGATGTCGGTAGTGTTCTTGGAAGCTAGTTCTTGCACGTTTTCAACAGGAAGTGTAAACCCAATGTTGCCGATACCTTGGATAACATTAGTCTCCTCCATTGATGATGAATGATGTTTACAGATCTAAACTTTTAGAATTTGTCCTGTTTCTCTTTCTTTTTTCCTCCTTTGATTCAACAATATGATTATGATTTTTTTCCTAATGTTTATAACTTCTTAATGGTGGCTAATCTCTTCGGTTCTGAGTTCTGACTTCTGAACTCAAAAAAAAACAAAAACTAAAGCAACTTTCATTATTTTAACTCGTCAGTTCTGACTTTGGAACCTGATAAGCAGAAGCCCTGAGTATCTGTCATTACTCTGTAGAGTATTATAACCATAGCCACCACTATTCTACTGATCATTGCATTTTTTCAAAGAATTCTTTGTTCTGAATTATTGATTAATCCTTAAATCGGTACTCAAAAGAAAGAAAGGGAAATAAAAAGTCAACTTTGTGATTCATCATGATTGAGGCACCATTATTCGATTTGATCATTTCAAAGTAAACTAAATACCACATTTTGATACCATCAACTATGTTGGTGGTGGATAAAATATCAGAAACTAGATCCTGACAAAATGGTACTGATTTTTCAGTTGTGTATTTTCACATTATCGATAACGTTTTTGCCATCTAATCTGCTGCTAAATACGAGCTTTAGATAGTCCCCATACTTCACCGTCTTGTATTTGGCTTCATTTTCTTTCACAAGATCCGGCAGGGGACTAATACTTGCTTCCAAACTTGGATTGTGAAATGCAACAATGGATATCCTTTCCTTCTCCGAATTCACCACAGCTCTATGCTCAACGCTTCTGAACTCCCCATTACTCATTATCTTCAATGCAAAAAAAGAGACATTTTAAGCTGATTTTTGAAGTTGGAGGAAATGGCGTATTAGAAGGAGATCTTCTGGATGATCAGAATCAACTTACCTCCATCATATCACCAACGTTTACTATGATGGCTCCCGGAAGAGGATTTATAGGTACCCATTTACCATTTTTGCGGATTTGGAGGCCTTCCATTTCATTGGTTTGAACCAATAAGGTCAATAGAGATCCATCAGAGTGTGGTCCGATACCTACAACTTTGTCGGCTTGGGAGCATGGTGGATAGTAATTGATTCTTATTACTTGTGTGCTTTCTTGAGACATGTTCATGAATTCCTTAAAGTCCACCCCGAGATTTTTAGCAATCGATTCATAAAGACTAATACAGATCCTGTGCAACTCGCGCGAGTAGTCCTCTAAGGCTGATCTGATATATGTCATAACAGAAATTACTATAAGTTAAGCTTCACCATTCCAGTAATTCTATGGTTACAATCGTTCATAAGGGTTAGTCGAAACAGAAGCCAAAATTGTCACTCTACTCGAAATGATCATGTAAGAATGGAAATACTATAAGGACTGAATGAATTCTGTTTATAAGAACCTGAAAGAAGTTGGATTGTTAGGCCAGATATTCTTATTCCTTGCAAATACTGGTAGAGTGAAAAGTAGGAGCATGTCGCTCCAGTCGAGCTTTTGATCATCAAGAAAAACATTTGATTGACCGTATCCTTCAAGATTAATATGTGGCTGTTGTGCACAGACCATCTTCTCTTCCAATGGCAGTTTAAAGAATTCCTCTGCAGCCACCTTCGTTTTTTCAATTTCTGTTGCTCCTCCATGATTGGTCAACTGTTTCAAGAAATAAATCATCTTAAATATGCAATACATAATAATGGTTGAAAATAGTTCTAGATATGATTGCTTTTCCTTACCTGAAAGAATCCCCATTCCTTGCAAGCCTGATGAAGTTTTGACATTTCGGTTTGGTATTCCATACTTCCAGATGCAAGCTTGTTCATATCAATAACTGGAAGTTGTGATGACTCATCGACTGAAACTTCATCAGTCTGATATTCAGGACGGATGTAGCGATATGGGATGTCTTTCAAGTTTTTGGAAGCAAGTTGTTGCACGTTTTCAACGGGAAGCGAGACGCCAATATGATTTATAGCATGATTCACATTAGTCTCCATTGATGAATAATGTTTTTGTTGCAGAGAGCGAACTGTGAAGAACCAAACCTCTCTAATTATGCAGAGAGAGAAATTTCAGGTATCACTATTTTAGTATTTTTCTTCTTGAGCTTTGACTAGATAATTAAAAATTATACAAATTATATTGTCATGCTCTTCTTTTTGTTGACAATTTGAGCTGGAACGATAATAAAACTAGAAAAAAAAAAAAAAAAAACCATTCATAATGGAAAGTTTGTCATCACCTTCTAGGTCTTTACCGTTTTATTATCATTATTATTTTTGGAAACATTTCGGGTCATCACCTTCTTAGTTTAATATTGATATAATATTCACCAGTGATCTTAAAATTGATTAATTAGTAAAATTAATATCGGCCTAACTTTACTGACTTGGTCAGAATTTGAGAGGTAAAAAGAAAACAATAGTACTCAAAAGATTTTCTACTAGACACCACCTTAGTCTTTATTTGATTTTCTTTCTTCGTCGGTCTCTATTTAACCATCCACTTTTTGAATTCAATACTAAAACATAAAGTAGACCTTCAAAATAGGATAGAAATATTATTCTCTTCATAACTTAAAATTATTGTCCAATTTGAAATTATATTTTTAGTATAATTTAAAACAACATTAAAAATTCAAACTGAACAATAATCTTAGAACAGAAGGAGTATTTTTACCTAAGCCATGAACTTTCAAGCAGTCCCTTGTTTCTCAGATCTCAAGAAGAAGTGATAAATTGAAGAAATATATTTTCTAACAAATTCTTAGGATGAAGAACAACATAAGTGGACTGATTTGCATGTAATTTATCTATTTTTAATATCCCTTTATATGAGATTTTGCCAATATTTTGAATCCAAATATGTTATTTATATGATTTTATTTTTGATTGTAGTAATTGTACTCAAATGGAGGAATTGTTGAAATTTTAAGCTTAAATAGAGATAAAAGCAACTCAAAGGGTCAGAATTGAAGATTCAAGTATTTGATGAGGAAGAAATCAGATGGTTTAGAGAATTGGAGGGCCGATAATGCAATTTTTGGGCACTTGTTTGGGTTTGGCCGAGAGATACATGTGTTTTTGTAATGACACCGAAAAATTAAAGACCATAAACAGACTCAGATTACAGAGTTCAGAGGGTTGAAGGAAGAAGGGGAAAGCAGGGATGAAAAAGTAAGTTTTTAGGGAGAGTTTTATCAAGGAAGAAGGTTTCAATATATCCGATAACCTCGTACAATTCAGGAGCGTGTCTATAAAAGAGCCACATGCTCTGATAAGGACAACGCAACGGAAATTTCCAGGAAACTTCTACATAGGCTAGCTGTCCACCATTGCTTGGAAATAAAGAAAGGAAATTAACAGAATTGATTGGAGAGGCGGTGGATTCGATCCTGTGACCAAGAAAGGTAGAAACGGCATCGCCTCACAACCCTAATTCCCTAATTTGCTTAATAATAATTTAGGACTGAAATATAAATATTTAAAACTGGAAATAGATTCGCCAGAGCGTGACAATGCCCTCTGCTTCAATAAAGCTTGTCCTCAAGCTTTAAAGGTCGGGAATTGCTTGGTAATGAAATCTTTGTCTTCCCAAGAGGCGTCTTCCACTTCAAGGTTCCTCCATTGCACCAACCATTGCACCACACTGAGTTGATTTTGCTTGATCAGTCTCCTCTGTATCACTTTTTCTGGAAATAGAGTTGCATCTTCGTGCTACGAGAAGTCTGGTGGAGCTGTTGAACTTACTGACCGTGATCCACGGTGTTTCTTTAGTAAGGAGACGTGAAAGACGGGGTGGATCTTGGCGTGATCAGGGAGCTTTACTTGTAGGCGACACTTCCTACCTTCTCCAACACTTCGTATGGACCAAAGTGCCTGGAAATCAACTTCAAGGAATTTCTGATAGCGACTGTTTGCTGACGATATGGCTAGAGTTTTAAATATACCCAGTCTCCCACTCTCAAAACTCGATCAGACCTTTCCATGTCGGCAAAATGTTTCATCCTTCCTTGAGCCTTAGTCAATTGGTCTTTCAGAATCTTGATCACTTCATTGCGTTGCTCAATCATACTTTCTGCTGCTGGTATAATCGTGTCACTGAAAGGTCCCAGAGGCAAGTGCACTGGTTTGCTCCCGTATAATGCTTCATAGGGTGACATATTGATGCTGCTATGGTGGGTGGTATTGTACCACCACTCTGCCAATGGTAGCCATCTGCACCAGCTGGAAGGTTTAATTCCGGCAAAGCAGCGTAAATAATTTTCGAGGCACTGGTTCACTCTCTCGGTTTGGCCGTCAGTTTGAGGGTGATACGCTGAGCTCATGCAGAGTCACACGTTCAGTAGCCTGAATAACTCCCTCCAAAGATGACTAGTGAACATTTTGTCACGATCACTGACGATGGTTTCCGGCAATCCATGGAGTTTGTACACTTCCTTGAGAAATAACTCAGCAATCGTGGTTGCTGAGAAGGGATGAGTGAGGGCATAGAAGTGGCTATATTTCGTCATTTTGTCTACCACCACGAAGATAGCATCATGCTTCTGTTCAGAGGGAGGTAATCTTTCTATGAAATCCATGGAAATGTGTCTCCAAGCTTGCTGAGGCACGTTCAAGGGTTGTAGCAAGCCGGGGTACTTAACATGTTCGGCCTTGTTTCTCTGACAAACTTTGCCAGATCTCACAAATTCTTCGATTTCTGGTTTTTGTTCTGGCCAATAGAATATCGATTTGATCCCCTGTATAGTGGTAGTTTGCCCTGAATGACCCCCAAGGGAGGAGGAGTGCATGGCCTCTATGATCTTCTGCTTGATTCCGCCCGACTTTCCCACATATATCCTGCCTGATTTCTTCAAAATGCCACTTACCACCTGGTATTCAGAATCTATAGAGGGATTGAGGGTGCATTCGGCAATGAGTTGTTGGGCTGCTTCATCACCATCGTAGCTGCTGTTTTCAACCTCTTGCATCCATACTGGCTGTACAGCAGAAATGGCGTGACAAGATTCTTCCTGTGAGCTCTCTTGTACTTTATTTCCCACTGGCATTCTGGACAACGCGTCTGCCACCTTGTTCTCTACTCCCTTTTTATATTGAATCTTGTAGTCGAGTCCAAGGAGTTTGCTCAGCCACTTATGTTGAAGGGAGGTGGTTAATTTCTGCTCAAGCAGGAACTTAAGAGCTTGCTGGTCAGTTCTCAATATGAAATGATGGCCAATAATGTAATGTTTCTACTTGGAGAATGCTAATACCACCGCCAATAGCTCCTTCTCGTATACTGATAAACCACAATTCCTGGGGCTGAATGCTTTGCTGAGAAAAGCAATGGGGTGTGTATCTTGCATCAACACAGCCCCCATCCCCACATCGCAAGCATCGGTTTCAATGACGAAGGTCTTCGAGAAATCTGGTAGACTTAGAACCGAGGCTGTAGTGAGAGCTTCCTTGAGCTTTTCAAAGGCAATGGTAGCATTCTCAGCCCACAAAAAACTATCTTTTCTCAGCAACATGGTTAGAGGTTTACTTATGATTCCATATCCTTTAATGAACCTACGGTAATATCCGGTTAAACCCAAAAATCCACGCAATTCCTTCACTGTCTATGGAATTGGCCACTCTTGGATGCATTTTATTTTCTCCAAGTCCATACTGACCCCCTCTGATGAAACCACATGACCTAGGTACACCACACTCCTTTCAGCAAACACACACTTCGATCGTTTGGCGAACAACTGTTGATCTCGTAAGATTCTGAGTACTTTTTCCAAGTGATCCAAATGTTCCTCCCATGACTTGCTATATACGAGAATATCGTCAAAGAAAACCAATACGCATTTCCTCAGCAACATTTTAAACACGTTGTTCATTAGAGCTTGGAAGGTGGCCCGAGCGTTTGTAAGTCCGAAAGGCATTACCAAGAATTTGAAGTGACCGTGGTGGGTCTGGAAGGCGGTCTTTTCTACATCTTGTGACCTCATTCTGATTTGAAAATATCCAGAAGGCAAATCCAACTTGGAGAAATAGCTTGCTCCATGTAGCTCGTCCAATAGCTCTTCAATGATTGGTATGGGATACTTGTCCTTAACGGTCATGTCATTGAGTCTCCTATAGTCAGTACAAAATCTTTGTTCTCCATCTTTCTTTGGAACTAACAACACCAGGGAGGAATAAGGGCTAGTGCTGTTACGTATAATCTTGTTTTTCAACATGGCATCCACTTGCTCCTCGATTTCATCCTTGTGAGAGTGAGGATACCGGTATGGTTTGGCCTTGAAGGGTTGGGATCCTGCTTTCAACTCGATTCGGTGCTCTATTTCCCCTGACTGGTGGCATTCATGTAGGTATTGAAAACACTGACTCATATTGCTGGAATAATCCTTCTAAAAGATCAGGGAGTTTAGGCTTCGGTTCCTCTTTCAAACTCCAGATTCCTTCAGTCTGACAGTATACCTTGCAATACCTTTTCCTCTTTTTGATCTCTAAATACTCCCTTAAGTCATCAGTTTTCAGAACATTCAACGAAGGATCTTGAGTTCCCCCATACAATATATACCTCCTTTGGCCTCTGGTTAGTTGAATGTTACCATTATCATAGTCAAAAACTACAGGACTAAAATTAGACATCCAATCCACACCCAGTATAACATCCAATCCACTAAGATTCATTACCTTAAAGTCAAAGGCAAACTCATGTTGCTGGATGTCCCAACACAATTCTGGGCACATGAAAGATCCCATCGCACTGTTTCCATCCGCCATTTTGATACAAAAAGGCTCAACAGAGCGATAATGAAGAGACAATGCCTTGACCACACTGGGATCAATGAAGCTTGATGTACTGCCAGTATCAACCAGAATGTTCACCCACACTCCCTTAATCTTACCCCTGATGATGATGGTTCTTCTTTTGGATTTTCCATCCAGTGAATGTAGATATAGCCTCCTAACTCCTTCAGTAACCATCTGTTCCTCTGGAAGTTCAAGCACCTCCAAAT